CTTAACATCTTAGTTTATAGATACAGTTCATTTGTTTCAAAATATTTTCCTGTAATTTTTTTTTATGTCTATTTTGGTATTAGTACTAATACAAGGACATCTTTTTTGCTTGCTTATAATTCACATAGATATTCACATAGATATAGCACCTRGTGTGATATCAATTTAATCTGAAAAGCCCACTAGTAAAAAGTCTAAGTGCTAAACTCCAATTCAAGTCACTCTCAATTAACATTTCTCTTAGAATTTCCATTTTATTCATTCTAAATTGCATACAATATAGTAGTTATTATACTAATAGAGTGAGGACATCTTAGCCAAATGCTGTACTGCAAGAGCCTTATCAGCACATGGATATACTGCCAAATTTGATTCATAACAACATTTTGCAAACATTCCACGCAAGTACAATATTAGYTCCAAAAACCAAGCAGCATTTGATAATGGTGGGTATCACATGTCATATTCAAACCAAAGTCAAAATAATCTTTTACAAATCAAAATTCTACTTGTTTTGGAAACTGCCACCCTAGCTCTTTTGCATTTTCATTTTATCTCTCTGCAGACACACAGRARAGAAACACATTCAAATATACGTCTTAAGTTACATGCAAGATATTCCACCTATTGCATAACTGTAATGTTAGCTGCACTTGTTCAATATCCCTCAGTAGGTTCTGGGATCTGGTAGAGAACAACTCAAGAGCAAGACCTTGGTCTTAAGTCAACGATTCAAAGCAAACTTAGTATTGTTGATGCTGTCTTCAAAAATTCCTGCATCTYATAATGTTGTTGTGTATTTSCCATTGATTTGAGATTTAAGCATAGAGCCTCCGCTCACAAAAAAAAWWWRCRTWAAAAAAATAGTGAAATTATGGCCATAAACAGATTTTGAGGAGCCTTCTTTAACTTTGGAGATTGTTTCAACATAGTTGCTTCATTTAGATGAGATCACATGATATCATGTTAATGTAAAGAGCCACTTGTCTTCAAAAAAATAAACTTTATTCCAATACATAGAATTTCTTTACCAGTGTTTCTATGGTAATAATCTTGTACAGAGTGTCTAGTTCTTGATCCAACTATATAAACTTTCTATAACCACTCAAAAACGAAATAAAAAATATAATCTACTATTTTTCAGCATCTTTGCAATACAATTGAAAGGGGCCCTGTGTTGTGGTTTCTGTCAACCACAAACTGAAATATTTCAAATGTGCATGAAGTCATCTTTATTTCCTAAAAGATTGATTTTGATGGATGCCTTGTCGGACAAAACACAATAAAGTGTTGTCTCAAAGAATTTTTGGGCCAAAACGTAAACACGCTTACTAGCTTAACATGACATAGGCCGCCTTTACATGATCATTGTCAGTATCAGATCAGAAATGTAAAATTGTGCAAGTTGTTCCAGATTGAGGCCGACAGAGAGACGTTGTTTTCTCCTATAARGTAATTATAAGTACTAGTAATATAGACAATACATAGACAAATATAATTACTCTCAGATAGCAGTTTCCATCTATCTCTAACGCGTTGGAAAATGTGGAATTTTTACATGTAACAGGAAAAACAAAACGCTACAAAAGCGTTGGCAATTTATTTGGAAGAAYCTGACTTATGTACACATTCCGACGGCACTATAGACATAGGATATTTCACTTTTCACCATAAATGCAAACAAATCGTATTTTTTTGTTCAAAACACGGACGGCATACACAAATGCCCCTGGGAATGCTAGTTGAAACCGATAACTTGACTTTTAATAGGGATAACCAGAATGTGATAAACTCAAGACACGTTTGAAGTCTCTCACGTCAACACTCACTAATAAAAKTACTAGTCACAAAAATCCAAAACGGCAGAAATCATAAATTATTGAACTTGGAGCGAGCTCCAACGTACATAGGCCATTTGCCGATTATTCAAAGAAGATAATTTTAATTGACACCAAAACGTCTATAACCAACCAAGAAGTACAATGTATTTAGTTGATAGCAAACCAACAGAGCACTTTTTCTATAGACACGATCTTATTGCGGCTTTCGAATCAGGTCTATTCAATCAAGCATYCTGCTGCAACGCGCGATCAGATGTTCTTTTGACGATTCTGTCCTTGATTTCGGTTTTGTAATACAAATAGTGCGATTGTTTATTTCTACACAATGCCATAACAACAAAAACTCATATATTTATATTAAAAATGTCAAATTCAAAATTCTGTATTATTACGAAACAACTAAGTGGACGTCTTGTTAGTATTTTAACTAAAACAGAGAAGAGATTTAACCCACAAAAATAAACAAATCCAATTTATGGGATGGGATAGAATCGATTGTTTTTGAATGCGAATTTGGAGGAATTTTGATCTATTAAAGTTACCAAATTCGGAAACTGGATTATTATTGGAATTATATTGGTTTATATACCGTCCTTTTCGTGTCATGAGAGGTGTAGATCGTAAGATTGCTGAGTGTTTACAGGGAAGAATAACACAACAATCACTGAAATACTGTACCTTAGGAATATACCCTGGACGGACTTCACTAATAGTGCTTATTTCAATACAGTTTCCTTCCTAGAAGAAAAGATAATTCACTCAATTCAAAGCTTTTCACTGAGCACCATTAGCTTGATATAAAGAGATCGCACTGGAAAAAGATGAATGGATATTTCGTATTTTTAACTCTGAAATTGTAGCAAACTAACCTTTTCTTCTTGCACTCGCCAGTGTAAAAAGAAGCCATATTTATCAATRCGAAAAATATTATTAAAAACGATATTCTCCTAAAATGGAAAAGCAACAACAAATAAGTCAATTACAAAAGCTACAAGATACCTATCAGTTCATATTCCCACACAGTTTAAATGAGCTCAATGCGCCTCAAACCAGAAACAGAAAGCAGCASAGATCTATCTTGCATTGTTAGGAGGTTTTCTGAGCTCAAACTGCATGCTTCAAGTTGGCAAAATTTACCAAGTTTTGAAGTTCATTTTTCTACAGCTAAATGCATCAAGATATATAGAATTTTTAGGTACCTCGTCCCAACTTGTAAAACTTGTGCCATTGAGTAGTTTATCAGGGATAGAGACGGCTTCCAAATCAAACGAAAACTCTGCAGCCATGACTGGTCTTGTGAATACGAGCAAAACACGACAGATTTCTCATTTGGCCAGCTTAGGTGGTCATCAATAAGYCCTATCCAAGTCTATTGAATAGGCAAAATGAGTTAGTTGATATTTTCGTGGTGTTGTTGTTATGCTTGAGTTCTTCGGCARTAAAGGTTCACGGCTCACCCGACATCGTGATCACGATGGCTTCAAATAATGTGACCTTTCTTGTAGTTGTCTTGCGTGACTTACATTTGCTTGGCTTCAAAAACGTCAACCAATCACGATACAYTATTTTTGACATAGCTTGTCAATCATCTTTGTATGATTTTTGCAGGTGTTTGGCCGGCTCAAATTTGGCTTGTCATGTTTTGGAAAGACGGAATTCTATCGTTTTTTTTAATTATTAACTTCATTCTTTTATATATTGATAGGTATTTTGATTTCGGTATTCATTCAAAGGCACGCCGACATAAAACAACATCAAAACATTTTTTCCTTCGTGGCGGATCCTTTCACTCAATTTACTGTTTTTCATGCGATAAGACTGAATTCTAATTATTTAATTTTCATTCAAATTAAAGCAGTTTCCATTTCAAGTGGTACCTGGGGTATCCTTTTGAAAGCAGTTGTCATGATGCAATCTGAAAATGTTTTCACCTTGTCAAAAATCCTTTTTAGCTTCTCCAATTATCTCGCCTAATCGAGTATTTTGACGCTTGGTCGCCAGGGGTGCCACTATTTGCCTTGGCCTCGCGAGTGAATACTGTATTAAATGCCCCAGTACAAATGTTAAATGGCTTTTAGATTCGTTTTCTTATGGAAAAATGTTGACGATRGAACTGTTTGTGCTAATGTTTTAATTCTAAAGAAAAGGAATTATTGTGCACGGCTAATGTCCATACTGGGCCTAACAGCATGATACCTAGAGCTTCTCGAAATAGGGGCGGAGGGACTTTTGTACATGTCGTAAATTACTTCCATCTTTCTACACAGAATTGTTTTGATATTGAAACAATATTGTTGAACAATACCCTGCAATKAATCTTTTGTTCCATCAGTTCCGATTCACCCCGATTTCTTTCCGATTCATTTATTCACTGAAGCATTCGTACTTTTTTTACATTTATTTTATGATTTTATGATTTCGTTTTACAAAGTGCTACACACCTATTATGATGATATATTGCAAACAATTTAACCTTACCGGGGTTCCTAGTCGGTTTTTTTTTAAATTACCACTTTAACTAAAGAGCAAATGAACTCTAGTTTTTTCCCGAGTTGAGGAAAACCATCATGGTTAAATTGCTGCAAATTTTCATAGGGTCCTYCGGTCGAACCTATGACATCTACTGAGGAAACGACGTTCTCACATTTCTTGATGTATAAATTGTTGGAGACTTAAAAATTCAAAGGCGTTCATAAAAAGAATACCTTGGAAATCATTCGCAGGCAGCATTCTTGTACCCAGATCCCCAGATCCTGTTCCCTTCGATCTGTTGAGAAAGTGAGAAGGATCTGGGTACGAGAATGGCATTTTTCCGAACGGGCCGGGGTGACCTACGTAGCACGCAGTTGATGTAATGTATTCATAAAATGTATTGTATTCCCTTGTTTCTCGTTCTATTGTATTATGTGTTTTGTATTATATCTTTATGAATATATTACATCAACTGAATGCTACGTAGATTCTCCCTTTTCCCGAACTTGCGGGAATGCTTGATTTTGTTAAATTGTGGATTTTCTTTCTCTGTTTATTTCTTTCTTTGTTTGTTTTTAGGAAGATGTACAGAGTTATGTACTTTCTGTTTTTAGGCTATTGTCAGTACAACTTTGGAGCGAGCACTGCAATCGCGTTACGAGGTGTCCGTCAATCTGTGGTAGTAAGCACAGGCAGCCCATATTTGATCTGCTGTTCACGCTACTAAAAGAAAATAGGAGACCAGCTTAGGTAAAACATAAAAAAATCCTATTTGCTAGCAAATATTTGCTTTAAATGAAAACACCAGTTTNACACAATAAATATAATCACACAAAAGGCAGCTGTATCTTATATTACACTTTGCTGTTTGCTCTTCATATTATCATGATGTCAGCACATTTACCATAGGAATCTCCTTAGACATTGAAATCTGAACTTTAAACTTGTTTTTCATCAGAACTTTTCTTTAAAATTAACACATACGGTATATGCACTCAATTGTGAATGCTCATCCTGTTGCTTTGTTGTTATTCTTAACTTTCATGTGAGTTTGCACATGCAGTTATGATATAGGAATCATCGGACAATAGCATGTGTAGATATTGCTGCCTTTTAGACGGCAACTGTTTTAACATGACTCCAACCTAACTAAATATATTTTTTTAGTTCAACACATAATCTAAACTTCTAGAATGTCTCTATGCATAGCAAGGCTATAACAATCAGAGAAAAAGCATGTGTAAAGTATTATAAAATTTTAAGTAGGAGTTACATTCATTGGTCTATATCCCTTTACTTAATATTTTTGCTCCAGCATCATCATCTAACTACCATAAAAGTTGCAGTTCATTGTTCTTATAATATACACTTTTGTGTACATGTGGCAACTGCCTGACCACAATCATAATTATGATTAAACAGCTTAAAGAACACCCATCTCAAATGAGATGTCTTCTGAGAGCACCAAGGTGAACTCTCTTTTGAACTCAGCAAAGGTCAGGTATGCTGTTGAGATGTGAAGTGTGCTTGAACATGTGGATGATGATGGTAACCTCTGTTCTCCAATGGCTGCATTAAAATCGATCTGGATTGGCTTTTGTGGAGCTGCTGGGGAGCCTGTTACAAATCTTAGGAATCGATCAAGTAAATTATCATCCATACTTCCTATGAAATTTCGGAGARATTGCAAGACACAGCTTTCCTCAGGTCTTAGGTCTTCATAGTATGTAATCTTTGCTAAGACTTTCTCTTTGGATGGAAGCAATACATTGTACAGTGTTTGTATTCCCTCTTTGCTCAACCTGCTTTGCATTAATGTGATTTTATCACCAATGCCACTCCTCATCCAATGAATAATACTCATGGGTTTGTAGACAAAGTGATTTCTGGCCATCACAATTATGTGCTTCTTCAACTCTTCAGGGGTTGTCGCTGGCAGACAATTCATGCTGTATTGTTGATATATCCCATAAATGGCATCTTCTTGGAAACGAGCAAGATTACTTGTTGACAACCCTTGAATCAAAACATRTCGTTCAAATTGGCTCAGGTATAGTAGGAATGATCTTTCTAGTACATAGTCATCTACTGCTTCTTCTCCATGGACTAAGCTGACAAAGGATGCCTCATTGAAGCGAACTGGAATCTCATTGGTGAGGAGCCAACCGTGGTAAAGGATTCTTCCCAATCTTTGAAATACTGACTTGTTTTGATATTGTTGGATAGGAGTTACAAATGGGACTTTAACAGTGTCTCCTTCAAAGTAATTCTGGAAAGCGATATCCCAGAATGTAGTGAAGAGATCAGTTGTAAGGCCTCCAAAATCAAGACCAGATTCTCCAGCAAATTTAACATTAAGCTTACAGTTGATAACATCTTCATCTTCATAACATTTCAGCACATCATCAAGGATGTTATTTCTATGAACTTCAATGACTTTCACCTGTTCAAGGAGTGTTTCAGTATCTGTTGGTAAAAATTAAATAAAAAAATAATTGATTATAACTTTCTTTTCATTTTAAACCTAGTAGGAATGCCTGGAAAATGTTAGAAGTTGAACTTCTTTGGAACTTTCTTTGTCTTTGTAATAAATAAAGATTCAGAAAGAACTATCATGTTAGAGAATGAAAGACTGAAATCCTTGATTTCACCCTTTTTCTCCACATCAATGTTAAAATGCTAATTCCATATTTACATACTTGGCTCCAGTAATTAAGGAATCCACCCAAGAAAAGATCAACAACCCACAGAGTGATAAAAAAGTCTAAAACTACAGTAATTTGCTTACTTTTCACTCGAATGTTATGATTATACAATATAATGAAAATATTGCTTTATATAATAAATAACTGATGCAGTATTTATAATTTGTAAAACTCATGAATAATTAATGAAGAAAACACAATAGAAATCAAAACCGTGAAGAGTGTTGTAATATTTGATACAAAACTGTCTTGATTTGCATAAACTTTAAATCTAATTTTCTCAGCCAAATTCAATTTTATCTTAAAGTTTTTAGTTCTCGCCTTCGGATTGTAAAATCCCTTCTAGAATTCAGTAATAATTCATGAGCTATTAGTCCAATGAGCATCGAACTATTGGGTCACATGATGGACCTTTAAATCCCGATACAGCACTGATTTTGTATTAATCAGTTCTATATCAGATTGTCTATATCTCCCGATAAAGCACGACTGCTCGTTTTTTAAACACTACATACAACACAGCCGCTCAWGTTGTAAACATTACAAATAGCATGTCTAGTTTYCAATTTGAATTCCATGTTGCACCAGGGGTCCTTAATTGCCCTATTTCATTATGACATCAGAGTATGTTTTTATTGGAAAACAATGCTCAAAAACAGTGGACATTTGGACGCATTTAATAATAAATATTGTCTCATAAGTAGAACTTCAATGTATTGTGTCTTGATATATATCAAGTATCAATGATTGCTCATGTATATTTCATTTGATATGCAGTCACTCTGATCCCCTCTGGTGACCATGCATAATCCTTAGTGTTAAAGGAATAGAATGTTTTAAATGTAAATATCATGATAAACTAGGGCAATTGCYGTACTGAATTGGACAATTTGTGCATGGTATTACATAACTCTCACACAAAATTATGGGATGTAAATTTAATATATTTAAAAAATAAACATGAAAAAAGGGAGGTCCACATCCCGTGATGAGTCATGTATTTTTCAAGTAGAACAATATACAATTTATATACATGAAAATATGACATGATCATACCTGATTGACTCAGTGTACAAGTAGCTGTTGATGTACTGCTTGATGTATTGCTTGTCCTTTCTAGTTCATATGCATTCGCCATCATTCTAAAACGTTTCCCTGGCTTTTGTAGAAGAGAGAATGTGTATCAATATCATCATCCATTTCAGGATGTATGACTGCATAAAATAATAAACTACTAGAAAGGCAGGATATTACATGATCSGATAAAAATATTTATAGCCGAACTCACGGTCTAATAAGAGCGTCTAGTTCAAAATATGCAAAATTTATTGAGACTTAAATAAACTTGACCTAAAAGGTCATGTAATTAATGCGAAAAAAGTCCTTGCTTTGACTGATAAAATCAAACTTGGTAGACYACGAAGTGATGATGAGGATATCTAATATGTTGACCTCTCAGGCCAAAAAATAAATACTTTACAAGGAAAAAGATGCCTATAAAATAATTAAATTCGCCTTTCTGTAATTGACAAACAAAGTTTCTTCTTGTTCTAATTTGAAATCTTTGCCCACACAAGACTGTCTAACGCTTATAGAAAGGTCATTGATTCAGATTTGTAAGCATACAACTCGAAGCTCCATGCGATCCGCACATGCGCATACTATTGATGCCTAGACTGATGCATTCAGATGAGATAACAGATACCACATTTGTAAACGAATAGTTTTTTTATCGCATAAAAGCGCAAGTAGCATGTAACATTTACTAACAATATTCGTACATCTATGATATGTATACATTTGATCTTCCGGTTATGTAATAACACAGCCAACCCAATAGTTGATTATTAAATTCTTAACTTCCGGTGGTCCAAACGCGACAAAATACACAGATATATTGGCTAAATGGTAAAACTGAAGTCGACCTAGCCTTTGGCTAAATATCACATTTTTTTTAAGCTTCATGTAATAWACCATTTCTAGTTGTGGAATAAAGAATCATATTATAATTATTATTTTGTATATTTGGGGCTTGCATTGCTTTAAAAGTCACACACCAAGCTGGATTCTTTCATCGAACAATCTCCTTAGCTACCTACAATTGTAATGATATCTGTACYTAGAGCATTGATAAAAGGCAAAAATATGCTCAAAACAGCAAAAACCCCAAAATGCTCTATTTTTCTCAAAAGTCTCAGTAGTCAAAGGGTTAATATRAATTACGCATACCTGTGAAGAACTGTCTTTAGTTGATTTCCATAATCTATCGAAAGCAGAATCTGACTCATTATCACTTGAGGAATCAGAGCTAAAGAGATCAGAGAGATATTATATAATTATTATTTATACATTGTTCAATTTTGGCTATAACATTATGATTAATAATAAGGAGGACATAAACTCTAACTAGTATAAAGCTAGAACAAAGATTGTTTATTTGAAGGTAATGTTGATTTAATCCTGCATGGTAACATTGTAGCTCAGTATATAAAAAGCTGCATCCGGTGTTTTGCATCAACTTACGGTTAAACCCAACTATTAAGATGTGGAAGTATCTTTGCCTTGCAAACAAAATTGGCTGTTCAATACCTGGCAATTAACTGGGTCCCACCTTCAGCTATTCGCCTCTCCAATAACCCTTTTTTCTACTCTTTTAGCAAAATATATTTGTAACTAAAAAATTCTTTTTTTGCTTACCTTGAATCATTGTCCACAAGCAAGCTATAATCGTGTATTGTGATATCCTTATCGGACTCATCCAATACTACGAGAGGATCTTTTTCTGTCATATAAACTGTTTCTTGTTTAAAACATGTAATGGACYCCTTCTGTGSAATTACTTTGTTTTMGAAATTCCTCAAASTAAAATACAGAGGAGAGCTATCCATTGCCCTTATCCAGTCATACACAGCAGACATTTGAAGATCTTCAGGAAATTTGCGCTCCACTAACCCCTCACTTAAATGCTGAACTTTTACAATGATCCCAGAATGTGCATCACTTGGCTCGGGTGGTGTTCTGAGAGCACACTTCTCCTTGACAGTCTTTACTCGTGCCACTTCTATTGCCTCTTGTTTTTTTTMTTCTTCTTTTTGGCGGTCTGCTTTCAATCCATCTTCAAACTGTTSATCTTGCTGRTGTTTTAGCACTTTGCYTTCTTGACTAGAGCCCACTAGGCTAGAATCACCTTCGCTAGAACCCATTAGGCTGATAACATCTTGGCTAGAATCCAATAGGCTGGAACCATCTTGGATATGTCCCAATAGGCTGATAACATCTTGGCTATATCCCAATAGGCTGGAACCATTTTGGCTAGAATCCAATAGGCTGATAACATCATCGCTAGATCCCAATGGGCTGGAACCATCTTGGCTCAATAGGCTGATAACATCATCGCTAGATCCCAATGGGATGGAATCATCTTGGCTAGAACCCACTATGGATGAACAACTTTGCTCAATTACAGTAGAAGTAGCACTGTTCTTTTTTTTCACAGATTTTAGATATACTTTGACTCTTGAGAACCCACCACTGACTGCATAGTTCTGCACAGTAAATGGAACTTCCACTCCAGATGGTAGTTTTACTGTATCCCCAATATCTTGACAGTTAAAAGATGACAGTGAAAATTCCATATCTTGTGCATCACCAAAGTGTGATTGGCCATTAGGAAAAAACAAAGATTTTCCAGTCTCTATTAGATCATGTTTAGGAGTATCCGAACGTAGATTCTTTTCTCTCACACCGCCACCCAGTTTCAATCGAACCTGTTTGGATGTTGAATTTTCTTTATGTATCCAACCAAAGTATATCTTTCTTGTATTCTGACATGACAAGACTTGTGACTTCCGATTTATCGGTCTGGAACTCTTCCCTTTTTCAAGGATTGCTTTCAAATGCTTCTTTCTTCCTTCAATATCTGTGGAAGAATCTTGGCTTTGTATGCTATCATCTAGCTTTTGTTTACTTTTACAAAATGATCTTAAAGAAATGATATCTCCAATTGCTTMTAAGCCAAGATCTTTCAGGTCACTGGTAGATGCTTGAAGAATAGCTTGGCTGTCCATCTGAAATAATAAAYTAACAAAACTTACTTTRACACATTTTACTCTTGTACCCTTTTTGCAAATTGCTGTGACTCAATAGGGATTAGGTGACATAAGATGGAGAGGGAGGGTTTATAGAGTGCACACTAAAAAAGCGTGAAACAATTCTTAACAATCAACAACTAATAAGATTTAGTTATCAACTAAATAAGAATTCACTGGGGCATGAACACAATGCCAGAAAAGGAAATTGTCTCTAAATAGCTAGGCGCTATTTTTTAGTATCTAGTTTGATTTTATTTRATGGTTTTCCTGCGTTTGCTCTAAGCTAAAGAAGCCAATTCTTATTAAAATCATGCCTCATGTTTGGATGCCCTGACTAACCTTTTTTACATCAAATAGGTTGCCCCAAATAGGTTGGTTTAGTAGAGTCAAACTCTTAAATCCTCAAGCCAGGGAAAATAAAACAAAAGAGTTTGGCTCTGTTATCTAGGGGCATCCTGCCTCGTGTAAACAGAGCTAAAAAATGTTTGAATACTCAAGTTGTGATATCATATACCTTATAACTACTAAATGCCTGTATTTGCACAAATGACAGTGCATTAATCTCAATGAAAGCATATGCCACAAAAAGTACTGATAACCATTGGCTTTGGTAGGGTTGCATGGGAATTTGACCATGCATGTGGCCATACTGCATTATTAATGTTGAGTTTTTTAAGAATGTCTATGGATGTAGTAATTTTTGTAATTTTTTTTTGTGCCATGATTATTAGCAATAATAATATAGATCAACACTAACATTGTGAGTGGTAAGAACATCGTTGTCTTTTAATTCAAATTTGGTGATTTATTTGGGCTTTAAAAAGCCCATTTACAGGTTTATTGTTCAGTAAATCCTTCTTCAGGTTGATCCTTACATTAATATACTATCTTATCTATGATTTGTACAATATATACATTACCTTATTAACTCTGAAGTTATTAGCAGTGGTTTCATCAATGCCTCTTTTTGATAGGAACTCATAAATCTATWATACATTTGAAAGAACATTTCTTAAAACAAAGTAGTTGGTGTTGTTTTGCAATGCACTGTTCAAGTTCATGATGTCACTTCTTGTTTTGCTATCATGATGTCATCTAATACTGCTCACAAAGACATGAAATGTTTATATGATGTCACTTCTTGTTTTGCTATCATGATGTCATCTAATAATCTAATACTGCTCACAAAGACATGAAATGTTTATATCTCAATCTTAAATTTTTAGCTCAGCTCTCACAGCAATAGGCTACATGTATGCTATTTTCAATACTTAAAATATCAGGTAACTAGTATGCAATAATTGTACATTTAAATGAAAATCATGCTCTAAAGAACTGAAAAAGTCCAGCTTACAACAATTATAATCTCATCAGCATATTTCTAGAATTTGTAATGAAAAAGCAGTGAAGTTTCATGTAAACTACTTAATTTTTTAAAAATGTTAGAAATCAAGAGGAATTAAGTATGCTAATTGTAGTTTGAAGCGCACTGAAAATCTTGAAAAGGCAGCATGACTGCTTGGTAGTACATGTAAACAAAATATTGTGACTAATAGAAAACATAGATTTATAAATAATGATATGAAATTTGAAATTAACAGCATAATAATGTTTCTTGAATTATGTGTGTGGTGTGTTCTGGACACATTCAAAGGTGTTTAGGCTGCATTCAATATGTATACCACAAGGGGGTTGGGGGGAGAGGAAATTTTTCTAGAAGGCACAAAATTTTTGGATCCCCCCCCCCAAATCTCAGCAGTAATGTTCATATACCCCCTAAATTTCTGTGATAGACTTGATAGACATTTTATGTATGGCCAAAAAATTTGACATCTCCCCTTTTCCAGTCCCTAAATTTTCAGATCCCCCCTCCCCCCTGTAGTATACATAATTAATGCAGCCTTAATAGGATGCCATTCCAAACTCCTCTGAATCATGTGTCAAAATACACAAAGTCTTGAGAAACTAACAACYAACYATGAGCTCTGCAAGCCAGGGACTACTAGACTGACTCCATTTCGAATAATCTAGATAATGWTTTCACTAGACTTTTTGTGCCTTTTGTATCAATCACAGTAAAAAAATGAATGAGCATCTGTCCAGCTTGGGCTACCTGTGTATGTTAATGAAAACCAATGTGTATTCTATTTTGGAATTTAGCGGAATCAATTTGTTTGCTTTACTTTTTATCTAATGATGGGGGSATAATAGGTACTTTTAAAAATCGCATAAACAATGTAATACATGATATGCATTAATAAGTTAGGCGACTGTTGACACAACAGTGTCCACACATGTTGGGATAATTATCGTCAAATTAAACGCAATTTTTAACGTTAAAATGGCCTCACAGAGCTATGTGAGTCTAAGAAACATAAAAAGAAACTCAAAGTGAACATCAATACAGTTATTCCGCAAGAATCAAGCATTAAAGAGGAGACTTACCGACTCCAAGTCCGATGTTTGATCCATCTTGGCGTTGTGGTCACGTGACAGATAAGGCGGGAAAAAGTAGCAAAAAAAGTAGCAGAAAAAGTAGCAGAAAAAGTAGCAGAAAAAGTAGCAAAAAAAGTGGCAATAAAAGTAGCAGAAAAAGTAGCAAAAAAAGTGGCAATAAAAGTAAAAGTGGCAAGAACACTTAAAAAGTAGCAAAATATTGTAGCAGCGCACTAGTAAAGTGGCGGCCCTTATGGGCCACCGTAGCTATTCCTTATTTTTGCGATTTGTCTTGAACAGGATATGGATTTTTACTTTTTAGTGTATTAAACAGGGTCAGGGATTTAGACCGCTGGCGGCACGTACCTATC